TATATAAGTATACCAGCTTATTCAACTTTTGCCATACTATGGCAATACTATACTATACTTTGCCATACTATGGCAAGTGTATGGCAAGTGTATATCAGCCATATTTCATTCTTTATATTAAGAGAAAACCGTTAAAAAATACAAAATACAAAAATTAACAGAAAAAAACCATAGCAAAGCAATGGTTTGTTCTGACGTCAAAACAAACAATTTAGAAAATTTTAAATTTATATATATATATATATATATATATATATATATATATATATATTATATATATATATATATATATATATATATATATATATATATATATATATATATACATATATATATATATATATATATATGTATATATATATACATATATATATGTATATATATATACATATATATATATATATATATATATATATATATATATATATATATATATATATATATATATATATATATATATATATATATATATATATATATATATATATATATATATATATATATATATATATATATATATATTTCTCGTAGATCGCATTAGCAATAAATTTTCATTTTTAATATTTACAATATTTTTTATTCTTGACATGTTTACAATTAAAACTCTGGTAAATAAATTTAAAAACTGAAGACAATACAGAGAAAAAATTGGATCTTGGGTGCTACCCATTGTGCAACTATTTTGTAATTTAGCTTTAGTACATGTTTCAAAATAATAACCTTAGCATTGCCAAATGACACAATTTTTTTTTAAATGTAAGCGATTAAAACATATCTTTAATATTGATTTTCGAAACCAGGAAATGCCCTTAATTAAATTTCTTAATGGCAGAAATAATTGCCTTATTTATATTTTATGTTGTCAGGATATTATCCTTTAATTACAATTCTTAATATCAGTAAAAACTTCATTGATTATTCCTCAATGTGAGGGAATATTTCCTAAATTACATTCTATAATGGCAGGAAAAATTGCCTTAATTACAGTTCTCAATGAAAGGAAAAATTCCCTATGATTATTTAATTACATTTAGAACTTTTTTTTTTTTTACGGAAATTATGTATTTAATTATTTCCCTTTTTTAAGGAAATTTTTTTAAAGGAAAACTATTTCCTTAAAATTATATTTTCTTATTTAAAGGAAATTTTTACCAATGCTGATTTTGAGGGATTATTTTCTTATTTTTTCCCTTAAAAATAAGGTGAATATTTTTTGAGTGTATGTATGTGCGTGTATGTGTGTGTGTGTATGTGTGTGTGTGTGTGTGTGTGTGTGAGCGAGTGTGCGTGTATTTGTGTATGTATGTGTAAACATATGAATAAAAATAAATAAATAATCAGACCAAGACACATTGGTCAAAATAGCAATTTTTCGTATCTACGTCTTTAGCTAGTCAAGAATTTGAGACAATTTAAAAGAAGAAAAACAAAAAGTGTTTTTTAAAAATGAAGAACGAACTTTGACATGATTAAAAAGAAGAAAAATAGTATAAATTTTTAAAAACTGAATATTTGGATGTTTAGCAGCCAAAAATAAGTGAGAATTTGAATAAACTTATAACTGAATATAAAATCCAAATCGAAACCCAGTTGATGAATGTTAAGGAATATTGTGCTGATGTTTAATAAATATTTTTTAAGCTTAAAATTACACGCATTGCTCAAAAAAAGCAATAGAAGTTAATAAATACCTAATATTCGAAACGCAAGAAATTAATGACAAATAATACTCTAAACTCGAAATACAATAAGCCGGGTGAATAAAAAGACATTTGCTTTCACTTAGTAATTGGTCAGTTTTACGTGAATAAAAATTTGTTTAATATGGTTAAATTTTCATTCACGTAAGGTTGAGCAATTACTGAGTAAATTGCTTAACTTAACATGAATAAATATTTGTGCAAAACTCCTAAATATTACCCAGTAAGCACAGGACGTTTTCAAAACGTTTTAATTCCGTTCAATTTACGGTCAGACGTTAAAAGAACCAATACAATCGTTTTTAAAACGCTTTTTTGTAAAAGTTTTTTTTAATGTTAATTTAAAGTTTTTTTAGCGTTTTTTAGGCGTTTTTTTTTTTAACAACTTACGAAATTTCTCAG